CCGGAGCCTCCGGGCCCTGACGCTGCCCTCTCCCGCCAGCGCTCTCTACGCCCTGGGGATGACGGCCGTGGGCCTGGCCATCCTCTGGTACATTTTCCGCCTCACGGGGATGACAGGAAGGGAAGGAGCATTCGGCGCCTTTGTAAGTGGTCCCGCCTGCCTCGCAAAGCTGGGGGTCAGGGCAGGCGCTCTCTGAGGAGAGACTGCCGGGAGAGGTCACGCAGGCAGGGGCCGTGAGGAGACCTGTGCCGGGCGCGGGAAGCGGTGTCTGGGCTTTCTGAGGGCGACCTGGTGCTTCCCCAGCATGTCTGCGTCAGGGCTGGACCCAGGCCTGTTGGCCTCCACCCTCTGACCCCTGCCCTTTGTTTTCTGCCCAGAACCAGCTTAAAATGGCTCGTTTCACAGTTGTGGACGGCAGGACGGGGAAAGGGGTCAGCTTCAAGGACGTGGCGGGGATGCACGAGGCCAAACTCGAGGTCAAGGAGTTCGTGGACTACCTGAAGGTGAGCTCGGGCTGGGTGGGCGGCCGCCAGGTTCCCAGAGCCCCGGTCGCCCCTGCCCCGGGCCGCATAGCCGGTGCCCCCACGGAGCCCTCTCTGCAGAGCCCGGAGCGCTTCCTGCAGCTGGGCGCCAGGGTCCCAAAGGGCGCGCTGCTGCTCGGCCCTCCTGGCTGTGGGAAGACGCTGCTGGCCAAGGCGGTGGCCACGGAGGCCCAGGTGCCCTTCCTGGCGATGGCCGGGCCGGAGTTCGTGGAGGTCATCGGAGGTGGGCCTCGCGGGACCCCTGCCCCGCCCCCTGACTGGCCATCGGGGCGGGCCGCGTGGGGAGACGGGCACGCGAGGGCCCCGCTGCGGTGCTCGTGGGGTTGGGGCGCCTCGGGGGGCTTCCGCTCGCGATGGGGGGGGTGTGTCCCCGGGCCCCTCTGCCTCCGGCTCCTGCCACGGATGGCCCTGCCGCCCACCCCGTGCCCCCAGGCCTCGGCGCTGCCCGAGTGCGCAGCCTCTTCAAGGAGGCCCGGGCCCGGGCCCCCTGCATCGTGTACATTGACGAGATCGACGCCGTGGGCAAGAAGCGCGCCACCGCCGTGTCCGGCTTCTCCAACACGGAGGAGGAGCAGACCCTGAACCAGCTGCTGGTGGAGATGGACGGTCAGTGCCCGGCGGCAGCGCCTGGGGCGGGTGGCCGCTGGGGCTGGGGCTTTGGCGCCGGCAGACTCCAGGCGAAGGCGCAGCAGTGAGGGGGACTCTTCACAGTGGCCGGGAGGCGGTGGCGATAGCCCAGCCCCGAGCCCAGAGCGGACCACGGGCTGGCCGGGGCCTCGCCTCGAGGCGGGGCAAGACACGGGGCCAGGGCTGCCTCGGCCCGGGGCTTCTGGCCGGCTCGGAGCACTTCCCCGCCTCTGTAGTGCTGACACAGTTAGGCCTGTTCCAGCGGCCGTCCCGGCCTGCTACCCTAGGTGGGCTGCCCTGACCGCCGGATGGACACACACACTGTCCCCAGAGTGGTGGGCTGTAGGTAGCTGCCCACACCAACATTTCTGCTGGTCACATGCATGTCCACCACCATCCCAAGGTAGTGGTCGCTAGTCCGAGCCTGTGGTGGGGGCTGGGGGTGCCCTGCAGGCCCAGGCTTGTGAGCCACCACTGACCACCCCCACCCTCCCAGTCCCCCGGTGTGGCTGGACCCTGATGGGACACAAGTGTCCCCCAGCTGCCATTTCTGCCGGGGTCAGTTGGCCTCACGGCCAGCACGCTGTCTGCTTGCTCTGCCCACTCTGGAAGGCCTGCAGAGTCAGGTCACTGCATGGGCAGGGGCCTAGTGCCCGCAGCTGGTGGCCCGCTGCACTGCGCTGTCCCGGGCCTCTGCCCTTGGAAGTGCTGGGCTCGGCAGAAGCTCCCGGCTGTCCTGGCAGGGAGCGGCCCGCAGGATGGCGAGGCTCGGGGGGCCACGGCCTGCCTGGGGGCGGCCCCGCCTCGGCCTCTGTGCAGGCTCAGCTGCCGTGCGACGGCGGCCTGCAGCTGGCCGCGGGCGGGTGCGTCTTTGTGCCGGCGCTGCTTCCGCCCCTCGAGACGGAGCAGCCTCCGCAGGGGCCGGAGGCGGTGGGGCACGGGGTCAGCTGGCTCTCATCGAGCCGGGGCTGTGCAGGCGTCACTCCGCCCCGACCCCGACCGAGGGCCGCTGTGGCGCCAGCCCGCAGCAGACTGGGCCTTTGTGCGAGCCGGGAGCGGGCGCCGCAGCTGCCTCCGGGCCTTGTTCCGGGCAGCAGGCTGGGCCAGAGGGCGTCCTGCTGGACCACCAGGCCCGCGGCCAACCTCTGTGCCGGTCGGCCCG